CATGAAAATGAGCGTCGTGAATTACTTATTTTTACTCCCTAAAGATTAAATATTTTTGTAAACCAACTAAGTAAAAATAAAGATGCTAAGAAATAAAAATTATTTTTATACATTTCTTTCACTCTTTTTCACCATTCAATCTAAATAAAAAAATTTCCACTTGTTTTTATTTATATCCATTAAACACGTTTTCTAAATTGCACATAAAAGATCTGTTACTAAGTTGTTTTTTATCCTTATTTCACTTTAATCTAAGATCGAATGTAAGAAAGAAATAGAACATGCTAGCATAATCCAAGCAGCCGGAATATTCAGACAAAATACGCAACCAATTATAAGTATCAAATAAAGTATCAAATAATAAAGGCCCGATCCCAATACTGATTTTATATCAGTTTGTATGCATCTCCAGACAAATGGTATTTTATTAAAAATGCAATTCTTCGCCACATAAACAGTTCTAACCATAGGAGAGACAGTGCATCAATGCAAACTCCAAAACAGGCATGTGGTAATCACGCACTCAATGAAGCTCCAGAGTTCTTTCTGCATTCTGCAAGCATATCCATGTAAAACTGGCACTTGCTAATGTCATTCCCATAGCTGTTCAAACACTGCAACCAGATATATATGATCAGTTGCATTAATCATACACAAGTAATTCTTAAGAAAACCATCATAGATTGACATAATGAGAATGGAAGAAATATTTATTACTTAAACTCTTTATTTTACATTGCACATCCTAATATACCAACACTAATGTACCATCCACACAAGAAGTTCAAAACCCCACTCTCGCCCATCCAAAAGAAGGATTATAATAATATCTCTTAGCAGACCTGTTAGTTACTCTTGATTAGTTTACCAACAACAGAAGAAAACCTTTACCTCCCACATATTGCAAAGCAAAAACCATATCCTTTGGTATTTGTATCAGAAATAGCATACATGTCACACAAACAAAACGATGGAATCATACCAAGAAGTGTCATCCAAAAGGAACATAGAGAAATGGGCTGGACTAGACGGACTTAACAGGATTGGGCTCATGTTGAGGTTAGTGGGTCTTACCTCATCTTGGACTATGGGCCACTAAATAATTAAGTACAATACCTCTCACATACTTGTGTAAAGTTTCTTTGAAGGCCTTGCATTTTGGACTAAATAGTGTAAGGGCTTTATTGTAATTTTCCTTATTGTGTATTTCTTTTGGACCTAGAGGTGCAATTTATTTTGGGTCACCCATTAGCTTTTGAATTGAATTAAGGATTAAGGACACGAGGCCTGCCAAGTAGATTAGGTGCATATGGTGTATCCAAATTCAAATTCAAATGATAATCTCATGGCATTCAGATTAAGTCACACCTTCCTTGATTGTCACATGGCCTACTCATTGGTTAATGTGCATCGTGGATCTAGAAGCACATGGGTACATGTGATGAGCTTTTGGACGTCCAAATTTGAATTTCAAATTCAAATTTTGCGCCTAGCCACCTTAGGTTAAGCAACCTTGGTTAATTTATAATCATGATTGCCTAGCTTGCTCCATAAGCTTCCTAGCTCTATATAAGGCCTAAATCTATTTGTATGTGTCACTTTTGATGAGATTTGACATTCATTTCCTGAATTATCTCCCAATTTCTCTCGTCACTTAGGAGAATTATTCTCCTTAAGCACTTCCATGAAGGAAACTCTCCTTGTGGCTAGTGCTCATTTCATTTGCTTATCTCTTCAATCGAAGAGTGGTGCACCAAAACACCTTCCCTACATCACCATTGACTTGCTTTCTCTTTGAATTCGGATCATGGAAGTGCAAGAAGGGAGATAGGAGGTTCATGGAGGAAATCACCAATCATTCACCATGCAAATTCCATCACAAAATTACTCATGAGTGCAAACTAATGAATTAGCGTTGACTTGCAGTTGCAGATCATATACCAAGAACACTATTCAATTAAAGGAATAAAAACTAGGTAAACAACTTACATCCTGGAATGACTTTGTATGAACATTGCATGCATCACCACCAAAAGCATTTGCAGTGGGTGCAGGGGCAGCAGCAGCAGCCTCACTGACAACTGTTTCATGTTGAATGGTGCGTGGACCCATTATTGCATCAACAGCCCTGTGTGCCACTGCACTTCCAGTGCCAAAAGCCATACCTGTAAAAAAATGGAAATTCAATACCAGATAAGAACATGAATTTTTATCTTTGATAGGATTCCATGAGGCAAATGTAACATTCATATTCGATGACATACCTTGAGCTATTGTTGAACCAATGCCACCAAGCATAGATCCACCACCACTTTGAACAGGAGCTGGAGGAGGAGCATGGTGGACTGCATGAAGACCATGCAATTTCCATAATATGAAAAAATATCCCACAATTTCGTCTTAGGAGACTAAAATTGCATCATAAAGCTTTAATGTTTAATAAGCATCCCTGTATTGTATTCATGCATACCTGGTTGAGGAGCAGGACGAGCTGGTGCTGCTCGAGGAGCAGGACGGGCAGATCTTCCTAAAGTAAGCAATGACTCAATAGGGGGTCAGATATGAAGAAAACAACATTATTATGCAAAACCAAGATGATCCAACCATAAGTTTACTTCATATAAACATATTACCATATTAAGATCCTATATCACATCAAAAAAACATGGTATATGAAAAAAAATCAGAAATGGAAAATCTCTAAACAATAATAAAAGTTATCTCAATCAAAACATTTCAGTATTGATACTGATATTAATACTATTGACAATAATTTCCCTCTTTCTGCCATAAGCACTAGAGTTCAGGGTTTTTCATGAGTTTAGTTGGATACTTGGGTTTTTCTAGGCCTGTCAGAAACTACCACCAGAGATGTGTCCATCTCTGGACACACTTAGCCACCACCATCTAGGTTTGTCAGCAGGCCCACTATGAATGTTTGTCTCCCTTTTCCCTGAGATCTACAATGCCAGAATCACAGCTAATCTAGATTCCAAAAGTTTCTGGCAACCTAACATGCAACCCCAGCAACAAAATGATACTTCATGCCATCTTATTGAATTATTGATTGTGTAATGACTAAACAAAATTGCAATACATGAAACTCCAGCTACATGCTAACAAGCTTGTAGCTCAAATAGAACCAACCTGTGTCTTTTAAGACAAGGATGTGACATGATGAACCTATAAGAGGAAATCCCTTCACTAGATCCATATTCCCCTCCCACACCTTGTTATCTCTACAACCCATGTAACACTAAATACCTAAATTAATATAACAACACATTTCCTAACCAATAAGGTAATATTAATCATAGAAAATGTAAAAAACATAATCCATCTACCATAGATTGATGATCCTTTATATTTTTATTATAGAGTAGTTGTTAATGCACAGTAGTTGTTAATGCTGGGATACTTTCAATTAGAGTTGCATCATTGTTTTCAATCATACACCCCTTTAAAAAGATAATTGATCCGTTTTTAGATATACAAAAATTTAACAGTAATAGACTTCATTTCATTAATAAAAAAATAAAAAATGAATGAATTTATATATAACCGTGTGGGTATACACTAACGAGGTAGCATTACGTTGAGGGTGCCACACAAGCTTTACAAGTCAGATATTTTCAGACTCAACCCAACCCATAACCTGGAATCAACATACTGGCACCATTTGTTGGTACGGTTAACATGGTTCACGACCGAACAGAACCACGGTACACCCCTACTTAACACTAACAGCAGAATAAAACACTGACGTACAAAGGTAAATCATAATGACTAACATAGCATAATCATATATCAAAACAAAAATCAAACATCAGAAATTTAAGGGACCATTCATCTTTATAAATAAAACATTTTCTTTATAAATAAAAAGATTTGCGAAGCCAAAAAATAATTCCCAAAAAAAATAACAAATTAAAAAAAATCCCAAGATCTGGAAGAGAAGTAGATAAAATATAAATTAAATTCGTCTCATGTGTTTTTTTTTTATCTTGTTAGGACTCAAAAAAATCTGATCGGAGGGCAAGTTAGTTTGTAAATAACTCAATGGGAGATAATATTTTTAAGTTGGCACTATCTTATGGAATCAGTATCCTTTTCCTACCTAACGATGTTATATCCAAAGAGGAAGATAAACAACTTTCAGAAGGATTTCTAATTAGGTCATTTCCGCAGCTATCATTTTCTTCTTAATAGAAAAGTACTAGCACCAAATCTTCCAAGATCATGTAAAGCTTATAGTGATTTTCTGAATTGAAAATCCAAGAAAAAAAAAAAAAAAAAAAAAAAAAAAAACCCCAACCCCAACCACAAAAAAAAAAAAAAAAAAAAAAAAAAAAACCCCAACCCCAACCACAAAAAAAAAAAAAAAAAAAAAAAAAAAAACCCCAACCCCAACCACAAAAAAAAAAAAAAAAAAAAAAAAAAAAACCACAACCACAACCACAAAAATAACAGAAAAAAAAAAAAAAGAGAGGGGAAAACGCGATTCATGAATCAAACTATTTATGCAAATAACTTAGAGGAACAAAGTTACTAAAACATGAGGAGATAACAGGAACTATGAGAAATTTATCCGAAGGCCAAAAGGGTCGGCGAAGAAAACCCTAGAAACCATTTAAGGCGAAAATAGAACAGAAACATGATATATATTACTAATAGTGTAAACAGAATTGGGATTGGAGATTTTACCACCGGAGCTACGGCGAGGCATGGTTGAAATTAGGGCAAAGAAAGGGGCAAAACGATTCAAAGAGGAGCAAAGACGGCTAAGGCTTAAAACCGTATGCTGCTTGGTTTTATTAACGTGAATGACTTATTTAAACCCTAAAATCCTTGGAAATAGTCGGTGGGACACGTGTCGCATTTACGTTGGTTACGCATCTTGTGTTCGAACAGTCTAGAATTGAACGTTTACCATTTCTCTTAAGCTATTTTCGGAGAGATGAGAAATAAAAGATAGATAAATATTTATAAAAACTAAAGTGAAAATTATATTATTTGATCGAAAAGAAATGGATAAAGAATAATATATATATATATATATATATATAAAAGAAAAGAGAAAAAAGAGATGAAGTCTATTATTTTTTAATTTTTAATTTTTTACTTTTTTATTTTTTATCAATCAAATCTTTTAACTTATTTTTATTATTATATTCTTATTTTTTAATTTTTTATTTATTTCATCTCAATTAAATCAAGAGTTAAGTTGATTAAGACGCTAATTTCTTTGATTTTCTAGAAATACTTTTACATAATAAATAAATACTTTTAGTTTTAATTTAAAAATATTAATTTTTAAGTATATGTTGATATCAAAATATTTTTAATTAAAATTTCATATTTTTATTTTCTTAATATGTGTTCACGAATATGTATTAGAAAAATATACAATTATACTATAAAAACAACCAATTTTAATGAAGCATGGAAGATTATATTAAGGATAACATTTTTAAAGTATTATTTTTCATATTTAACAGTTTTGTAATATTTTTTATTTATTGAATAAGAAAAATTAATTTAATTGGTTTTTTTTTCAAATAATGTTATTTTATTTTCTTTTTTATTATTTATATTTTTGCTTATGTTGACCAGTAATTCAGTTTAGTATTCCTTATGTTTATTATTTATATTGTAATAATTAATTATATATTACATAGCTAGCTTACTCTTGTTTTTTTTTTTGAAGCATACATATAATAAAATTGATTTGAAGACGAATATCTATAAAGAGAGAAGAAATGATAATAATTTATTAAGGTCGAACAGTTTCAAGTACTATATGTATGGATGGAAGACACATTGACTAGAATAGGAATTAAAAGAATTTGCAAAGGTAAGCGTCATGAATGTGTAAGTTAAAGAAGGTTCAATTATACTATCACTCAATCTAAATATTGTTACATTTTTATAATTTGTTGAAACTAATTTTAGTTGACTTAAAAATAACAATTTGGAAGACCCATTGTGCCTAACACTTCATACACAATATGCATCTCAATGCACTAAAATTTATTTGGGTGTGATACTCAGATTTTGGGATTAAAAAATCATTTAAGAACTATTTTCTTATCTTTCACGTAATTTTTGTTTTTTTTAAAATAAGTTCGAATGTTTTTTAATATTTTAAATAACCATGATATCAGAGCAAAATATCCAAGAAAAAATTGTCATAAACAATATTTACCACAAAACTTGCTAACCAAGTCTCATCTTTAAATTATATTTTTTTATGTATAAAATTTAAACTCAGCCTTATTTATAAAATTTAATCCTAGTTCAACTAATATTAATGACTTTTTTAGTTCTTTAGATATTTTCTAGGTCAGATTTTATTATTTTTAGGTTTATTGGCATGGTTGACGAGACTTATTAAACCAGTATGATGATTAGCAAGACATTAAAATATTGCGAACCAGTGAAAAATGTCTGACTATTATGATGGTTAGTAAGATTTTATTTCTAGAGAAAATTGACTACTTTGTAGAATATTTAGTGATAATTATTTTTAAGTAAAGTTTAAACCCGTGGAATGTTTATTAAGAAGCTTGCCTATAAGTAGGAAATACTTTGTATTTTAAAACACTACATTGAACATAAATGAAATTTGGGTTTATTATCAACAATTCTTTCAATTAACCCTCTCAGCTACACCGTCTTCGTCCTTTATAGTAATAGTGAGATTCTCTATATCTGGGTTTTGAGGCCTTTGCTGGTGCATTGGCAGTTTGACAATGCGATGCTTTCTCGAGTGGTCCAAATGCGAATCAAAAAATAGGTTTTTGGCCTTTTGGGTTTGTTATGCCAAAACACAATGGAAGCAGGATCTTCAAGTACAACTTGCTCCCTTCATCATTTACAACAAGTACAAAATCTTCGTTGACAGCATCAAGATTCAAGAGCACCAATTCCAAATCTTCTCTGATAATCTCAGATTAATCAGATCCATCGGCAGTTCCCTCAAAAGCTCAGTAATGGAACTCTCCACATTGGAGAGCTCTAATACGTATCAAAAAAACTTAAGAGACACGTGGGCCCCAACTTGTTAGACCAAAACTTAGAGCTCAGAGAACATGAGAGAACTTGCACAAAGTGATTCATTGTATTAATTGAAATAAATAAAAAAATAAAATAAAATAAAATAAAAATAAATAAATAAATAAAAAGAAGAAGAAAAAAAAGAGACACAAATGAGTGTGAAACATGTTCTATTTATAGAGCTTATTGAACTAGTAAATAACAACCAACAAACAAATCTCAACCACCACAACTAACTAATCACCTATAACATTAGTTTTCACTCGTCCTAATATGTGAACTAGTAGTATTAAGAAGTCTCATACATACCCATGGTACGAAGAACGAATTCATTTAGGGGAGAGCAAAAAATCATTATTGCCATCCATTTCTAGCTGTTTCATATAGCCAACTTGCTAATCATTGCGGTGCACAAAACTGAAACTGCATCAACATAGAAATTGCTATGAACAATATCTGACTAACCACCAAGACAAAAATGGTAACTTAGATAAATCATCTGCTCCTGTTATTCTTTCCAGAGCCTTGGTAAATAACGCAAAGGCTGTATGAGAACAAAAGGGAACTTAGATAAAGAAAAGATTGGCCAACACTCAGGAGTCGGGACCATTTTGATGGAAAATAGTAATTGAATGCAGTCCAGCTCTGGGAGGAGTTCCAAACCTCAAAAATTGCATAAGCATAAACAACTAAATAAAACGCCGAGTCAAAATTCCTTGGACTAACAAGCACAATAAGCTAGCTCATTCATCAGCCATGGAATTAAAACCTGACGAGTATGGCCCTCCATTTCCATTTGAATCTGTATTAGCATGCAATGGTGATTGAAGTTCCCCAGAATGTAAAGACTTTTTAGATTTTGAATTCTTGGGAGAAGCTGCATAAAAGTCTTCTGAACTGCCAGTAGAATACATAGATGAAGTTGGCAATCCTCGAACTTTAGGCAAGCCAGCAGTAGTTTCAGACAAACTGTATCCCCTTTCAACTGTCTCTGCTTCAAGAGGCAGTTCGTCCAAATCCTACCAAAGAGGAAATAGTATCATCAGAACAACCATATTTAGCAATCAATGTAGTAATGTAAAAAAGCTCACGGATTTCAAGATAAAATAATAAATCTGGAACAACATATACATCTAGAAGTCATGAGAAGAAACTGATTCTCTAAGTAAGGATGATGCATCAAATGCATGCACGGCCTAAAATTATTCAAGAAAGTTGAGGATTTAAAAAGAATCTTAAACAAACAATTAAATTACTACGTGTTTTACCATATGAAAAACAAATATCCAAGTCAACAATTAGGATCAGAGAACCAAGTTCATCTTATAAAATATAAATTCCACAAGTATAGGTGAGCAGACTGAGGGGGCATTCAATAGAATAAAAAAAAAAAATTCATGCCTGAAAATCAAGAATCTTGGGAATCATATATCCTAGGAATAATGATTTTTAGAGATGATTAAAATTTGTTTGATTAGTCATAAATGTTTTCACAAATATTTATAAATATTACTAAGGAATCAAAGATTTTTACTATATTAACTAAGCAAATTAAAGTAATGTGATATTTTTACTGCAATAGAACTTTCTTTTTAACTCGCAAATATTAAATTCTCACCTCCCATGACAACAATTTTGTGGGAAACCTACATAAGAAACAATCCCAGGAAACTATATTTCCTAAGAATTTTATTTTTTTAAATAATAAATCAAATATAGGATATTAACATTTCTAAATTCAGATTCCAGGAATAGTAAAAAAAAATTCATGTATCAAGAGAGACTTGGTGCAACATTGGTATTGTAAGCATAAATCGTACATTCGGGCCATGGAATTAGCCTTTTGCAAATAAATGCAATGCAAGACTGTCTACTATAGTCACACACAATCGGTTTGACCCTTCCCTTGACCCCATGCATAAAGGGAGTTTTATAACATATGGTTGCCCTTTTTAATAGGGCAGTAGATCAATGCGTGCACTAAAGATCATGAACATCTCCACCGGAAGTCAAAGGCACTAGCTTTAAAGGAGAACCATACTTTGTCATATAAAATTATACAGAACTTCAGTAAGACAAGGTTGATTAAAATATTATAACCACTCACTTTAAAAGCCTGTTGATAAGCTCGGAGCAGTTCTCGGCAGTGTTTCCTTTTCATGGCTACCTCATCAGGTTCTTGCAACATCTCCTCAAAAAGATCCTCTCTGATTTAAATGTAACATACAAAGAACAATAAGCAAGCCATGATGAACAGATACAATGTGTATCAAATATGGCAATATGATTATTCTAAAAATATATTGGATATAATCACTATATAATACCTGTATAGTTTTTCAATGAAGACGTTGTGAAGATCTCTCTTTGTATTATTTACCTAGTTATGGAATGCATGGAAATTCAGGTATGTTCAAACAACAAGTAGCATAGAGAATATGGTAAGATAAAATGAATGTTAAGAGTTGGAATATCTAAATATCTCATAATATCACTATAAAACGTTTAATATTAAGAGTATATATTAAATAATAACCTAGCAGCAGTTTTCATATTTAATATATTTCCTGATTTGTTTCCTTATTTAATTAGGAAGAGGAATTCAGTTCATAGTGCAGTACAGTGGTATAGCATCGCGGTACTGCCTTGGTGCAATGGTAGAGACGTCAAATTGTGTTTTGTGGAATGGTGAGAGTGGCCTAATTTTCTGTCAGGCTGCCAAACTGCATGATGGCAGTTATGCATCAGGATTACATCTAATAGTAGGGTGTGTAATTAGGCAAGTGAGTGTGATTTGTAGTTTGTGAGAAGAGAATACACTCTATAGGAGAATTTTGTCTGAGACAGCAGGTGCATGTGTATCACTGTATTATGAATGAATTGTGTTCAGTATTGTATATTATGAGTTAATCAATTGATGTTCAGTTCACCATCCCATGACTGTTCTACTACCTTAGGTTGCATTTTTTTTTCGTGTTCAATGTTCAGTAATCAGATTAGATGTTTTCTCAAGTAAGGCATGTTTTTCCCTGAGGGCAACCGAGAATGATCAAATTATCCATTATCCTGTTTAAAATCAGTCAACAGTGCATTGACGATCAAACCAGTGGTGATTTTTCTTCCGTCAATGAATGATAATTTTGATGATGACTTTCTGACTTATATTGGATGCAACTCACACTAGTCTCATCTGTCCCATAAAATGTTTATCCATATCTCCAGTCCTATAGATGCAATTACAATTAGGCCCCATCTTTAGTCTTAAATGTTGCAGCCCCATCTGAACTCTCATTGTCATGTGTTACATTTTTTGTTATTATTTGTTCAGTGATTGATTGTGATGAGCTTAAGGCTAAGTAAGTTTTAACTTGAGGGGAAAGTGTTAAAAATATAAAAATTATTTCATAATAACATTGTTGTTAGGCAGTGAGGGAAAATCCAAAAACAGTGGAGAGGATATATCTCATTTCACTTATGCAACAAACCACAATAGTAGGCTCGACACTACACCTATACCAAAAACCTTAAAGCGGAGAATATATAGCTTAGTTCATTTATGTGGTCCTTACTTAACTCATTCCAAACCAAGGTAGGACTTCATCACTCAGACTTCAATTTCCAACAATCGATATCACTTCTAACCATACAAAAGAAAAACCTGTAATCTATGAGCATTATGCTAAAACAATTAGTGGGTTCTAAACCTATCTGTCACACTCCCTTTATTTTCCAAAAGTGAGAAGATATGCATCCGATCTATATATTGTCAATTACTCAGATTACAGAACTGATCAGGAAACGGGAAACACACACACACACACACACACACACACATATATATATATATATATATAATTGCATCTACTTAAATACCATTCCATCTGAAAACTGAAAGCAGACTACATGTCTTATATTTATCATTTGCAACATCCAGTTAAAAAACAAATTTTTGCAATCCTAGAAGGATATAAAGTACCCACCAAAAAGTGCATAATTGCTTTCGGGACAAGATCCTCAACATTTTTTCTGACAATGTCATAGTATGACTTCAAAAGCAACTTTGTTACTATGATTTCAACAGCTTCTGTCTCTGAACTGCTCTCCAATGGCCTCAAGACAGTAGGAGGCTATAAACAAGGCACATAAAAAAGATAAATACCCATATTGATCCAGCTAATGTAGGTGTCAATCATATATATACCTCTCTCAAATGAATTGTAGAGATTGACTGCATATTCTGGACTGGTTCAGTATGTGGTTTACTAGCTGTATTTTCCTTCACAGACACACGATTATCACCTCCACCAAAAATGGATGAGATCCCCCAACTTGATCCACCAGTGCTTCCTAGGACAAAAAGATCAAACATTAAAGAGTCTAATAATGTATAATACAAATGATGCTTGTTGATTCATCACAGACGCTTGATTGAAGACAAATAATAGAAAAGCAAAAAATTAAATTCATAATAAAACACGTGCCTCTGACAAACTCAAAACATTAAATAGAAAAAAATTACCAGAGGTTGCTACTTTTTCAATTTCTGATGCAGCACGAACACCCTGTTTCTTTTTTTAATTTAAATCATAAGAATTGATATATCTATAGTAAAACTAAGGTAATATATATAATATATATATAAAGAAAATCAGCAGTCAACTTGACAGGATAAAATTACATACATACCTGATCAGCTACTACTCCATTTGCATGTCTTGCAAGAATAGATCGAGACTTCCCACTTCTATCAGAAGCCAGTCCCTTATCAGACTCCAACACATCCTATTGAAAATTAAGACGAGAACATTAAAACAAAAAAGACAGGAGAGAAATAATTAGCATTCACATGAGACCACAATATGTACACCTTCACCCTAGAAACTGGTAAAGCAACTCTAGAAGACTTGGTCTGTTGCACTGCAGCTTCTATTGCCTTACTTCCACCAATAAAATTTGGGTGGGAAGTGTTTATGTAGTCCATCTGCAAATTGGTGTAGTTTGAATAAGAAATTATGGACAATGACTTCAAGTTTTATAAGACAGATTGACATCACAATTGACATTAATAAGCTAAATCTTAGTATTTAAATGGTCTCTACTAGATTAGTATATTCCACAGAATTCTCAACATCTTTAAGTCTTTATGGATTTACCCTTATTTTCAAGAGAATGAACTCATCAAAGTTTAAACACCCACAAAGCCAATGTCAATCAAGTAAGCAAGCAGAGTGTAAAACACATTTCATTTTTGATGAAATTTCTAATACATGAATCTCATCAGCTAAAAATTAAAGGAAGATATATCCCAAGAAATGAGACCTTCACATACAAAAAACTTCATTAAAAGTAATTGCCTCATTCTGTTACAGGGTTGAATAAGAAGCAATAGTAGTTGTGGTCAATAAAAGTATGAGATGGTTAAAGACAAATAGTTGAAAGTAAATAACACACTATAAGGCATGGTGCAAGTCAGCATCAATACAAGTATGAGACAGGTTAAAGTATGAAGAGTGAAATCAAGGTTGTCAAACTCGAGAATTTAGTAAACTCATGGAAGCTCTATAAACTTGTATCATAAACTCATAAGAGTTTACTTAATATGAAATAGAAATATTAAAATACCTATAAATAACATAACTACTCAATATTTCAACTTCATAATTAAAAAAAATAGTAAACTACAATAATAAAATAGTAAAATTTAGTAGTACATTAGTACTAGTTAGTAAAATAAAAAATAATTACTGTATCATCATTAATTGGTGTATTTCCAGGTTTAGTAAAATAAATAAACAAATAATGATTCAATAAAAAGAGAACAAACGGATTGTTATTTGTGTATTTCAAAGTTTAGTAAAAAGGGAAAAGGAAAATCTGAATCTTCAAAGAAGCTGCAACACCCACTAGACACAAACGCAGCCACGAGAACCCCAACACTGTACATGGCCACAGACACGCAAGGTTAAATCTCGACGTGCAAGTTGCAATGCAACACACACAAAGCACAAAGAGGAGCATACAATAACCACCATGACCACATGGACACAGACACAAATGCGAAATCCAGTTCAGATCGCACTGCAACAAAGACCCTAATACTCTATTTTGATGGGGAAAAATACCCTGGAACGTACCTTGCACAATCGTTTTGGGCTTTCTTTTAGATGCATTCATTCGCATCTAAAATCACGATCCTGCTCGAGTTTACTCGATTCTACTCAAAAACAAGTTTGATTAAGAGTTAAACAGGTTTGTCTTCCTACACTCTTAAACTTTTTCGATTTTACGGGTTAACACTCGAGTTTGATAACCATGAGTGAAACTACTATGTGATTAGACTTTAGATTATAACTTTTGATTATAAATTATGAACATGTCTTTAATTTTGGGTAATTTTTTTAGCATTTATATCTATATAGTATAAACTATTGATCTTGTATCTATAATCCTTGGTATAGTAGTCATCTTGTTATTCTCTATCCTACTACAGCGTTTGGGAGACAGCTCCTCCACACTGTGACCGGGATTGATAACTAAGGCATAAATCATTATTTTGGTAGGATTTGTATCGTGCAACCAAGTTTAGACTCAGTAACCGAAGCACAGGAAGGAATCATTATTTTGGTAGGATTTGTGTCATGAAACCAAGTTCAGACACCGTAAACTAAGCACCAAACTGTATTTTCAGCATCTACTTTTAACATAATTACGGTAGTAGTAGGAGTAAGGAAACGTTTATACATCTAAAATATCAAATAAGTTAAATTTCAGCATACCTCCATTTCTATCATGTGTGTTATCATAGTCTCCGAGGGTTCAAGGCCTTCTCGTAAGAAGTTCCCAATAACTTCATCCATGTACTTTCTCAAGAAAGGGAATCGCTGCAATTCAGTCACCATACAGCGATGGCTGACCTGAAGAGGGGATTTGAATTTAGCACATAATTGTACGATAATGACGTAAGGCATCAGAAATGGCAACCATAAACCCCTACCTTAATTAACTCATCATATATAAACCTAGCGCACTGAAGAGCAGGATCCAATAGTCGAGATATCTGCCTGCGTACAAGAACTTCAAATGGGACCTAATTACATGGAAATAATATATAAGTACTATTTCAATTGGCCAAAAAAATTACATAATTTATAGGATAAGATTGTGGGGTTTGACTAAGAAAATATCACAATTCAAAATATATATATATATATATATATATGAGGATGAATCCGTTTACTCCAGAAATAAGTCTTCAATAACTCATGTTCTATATCAAATTTCAACGATCCAACCGTTGAATTTAACGTTATTAATGCATAGATCAAATCTGCAAATTTTTAAAAAATTTGAAAATCATTTGATACTTCGTTTCATTAATTCAAATTGACGGATAATTATAAAAATATGTTATCCATCAATTTGAATTAATGAAACTAAGTATCAAATAGTTTTCAAATTTTTTAAAAATTTACAGATTTAATCTATGCATTAAGGACTTTAAATTCAACAGTTGGATCGTTGAAATTTAATGTAGAAAATGAGTTATTGAACGAAGTAAGTCTAGGTAAACTTACTCCTGGAATAAACGGATCCCTTCTCATATATATATATAAGATAGTGATAAGACCTACATCTGGAACAAACAGTGCTGATTTAGGTCCAGTTGCATTCTGTATGGCTGTGCGAATATCGTCATCAGTCAAACCTTCACATGGATCCACCTCCTATAAGATAACATTTAATTGCATTATATAACAGGATCTGGGAGCTAACTCAGAGGAAATGGACAGAGCAACATGATCATTGGGTGGTTCCATGGAGTAAAACATATATTTTGCCTGTTTCCTAAAAATCTACATTATATAAATCAGCTCATGTAAAATTATTTATAACTCCCATTTCCCTTGAAATCATTCAATTGGATTGAAATTTGTATAATGTATAGTTTGCTTAGACGGAATTAAACCATTAAAACAAGTCAAAATGAAGATTCAATTCAACACTTACAATTAAATGATCATGTGAATTCAAACGAAAGATTTAGCTTATTAAAAACAATTCATTCTATCATCATATATAAGTGTATACCTCCAAGCTCCTCACAAAAATGGATTGAAAAATGTAATGAATTCGTGCACCTCCAGACAGCTCAAATGTAGACATCTCCTCATTCTTTCCCTCTACCATGGAGGAGAATGCTGTTTTCAACAAGTAAAAAACAACAACAAAAAATGGTACAATCAAATTTGGAAGGTAAATGAACAAGTATGAAAGAAATAGTGAGTTAACAGATGTAAAAGTCAAAGAGATAAGCAACTAGGCATTAGGGATAGTTAAGTACCATCACAGTATTTTGAAAGAATATTCAGGAGAAGAGCACCCTGTCCAGCCTATAGGATATACATAAAATAAGGTAAATGGCCAGCCACAGTGGAAAATGTGTCACTTTTTTATTACAACAAAGAGAATTCTTATACAGTATATTATACTCAACTTTAATAAAAGTCTGTTTGGATACAAGCTTAGAAATGTTTTTGAGGGCCTTTCTACTGAAAAAACTCTTAAATTTCAGTAGAAAAGTTCTCGAAAGCACTTCTAACTTATATCTAAACAAACTCCAAGTCATTTAAACTCATCCAAATAATAACACATGCCTTGGACTCTGTAATTTCTCCATAGCTTGCATGTTCTTTGGCAAGGGTGACTAGTGAAGCGCTTATTCGTGCTCTCAACCCTGGTAACACAGCCTTGATATGTTGTGCAAGAATCTGGAAGAGATATACAAGCAAATATACATATGACATATAAACTCATATGCTGGAACCCTATATGAATTCCTAATGGTTAGATCTTTTGGGGTGTTTCTAAGAGTTTACCTCTTTTAATTGTATAAGCAGAAGACCTAATTTAAGGCCAGAATTTGAAACAGTAAAATAATAATAAAAGCAAATTTGTGTTTTCAACATTGCAAATTTTTTACCTTGTTCAACTTTTTTGCCAATTGAGGAACACCGCAACTATCCGCTAGGCCACTGTATATCTTGAATAGCATAAATTAAATCAGTATATAGACGGGGCACATATTGAACATCACTAAGCAATGGTGCTTCCTTACAGGATGACTGCGGAAAAACTTCTCTTCGGCAACAAGAGCATCCTTTATACTTCGGTTCATTAGAATATCCTAATTAGACATGAAAACAAAACACTAAATTTCAGCACTACACGTCAACCAGCAAGCCAATCAAGCAATTCATAAGTGCATATTTGTCTCTTGTAGGATAACAACATTACCTCTTGACTACGATTCACAACACCCACGTAACCCAGTCGGAGGGAAATAACTTTGCCTAGTAACAGATTCCGCGCATCAGTACCTCTGTCCATGATATCCAACTAGAATCCAACCAACACTCGTCAACACACACAAGCAGCACAACAAACTTCACAAACACATTCATACATTACAAATAGTATACTAACCTTTGTGATGACACCAATGGTTCTGTTACCTGCAAGTGCAACACAAAAGAAAAAGAAAAATCAAAATATCGAATCACCACCACGAATCAGAGACACATAAAATGATCATTGCTTTAAGCATCAGCACAAAAAAGGCCACCATCAGGATCGGCAATTCCTGCCATCTGAAGAGCATCCGAATTGGCCAAATCCGAATTCGCCGCCGTAACCGCGAGAATGAGACAGGTTGGAGTTTTGATATAAGACATGATCATGGTTCTAATTCGAGCCTCAATATCCGAAGGCTGGTCACCAACGGGAACCTTGGTAATTCCAGGGAGATCCACGAGCGTGATGTCAAGCACATTCGGAGAAAAAATCTTCAAACGAATCTGCTTATCCGATACACCTTTGTTCCCTCCAGCTTCCCTATCAGTTTCAGCCTACGCAACAAAACACATCAACAGCATCAGTGCTTGAGTAACACATTGTGGAAAATTCTAATTCAAATTCAAATTCAAATTCAAATTCAATTGAAATTGAATATGGACCTGAATTTCGGAGCGGATTTGTGAGAAGTCGTGGAACTTGCGGCCAGGCAAGTGGAGGAACTCGCCGAACTCGTCCTGAGAGGGTTCGGTTCGGACGAGTTGGAGGACGAGGGGGCGGCGCGTGCAGATTTCGTTGCCGCGAGGTAGGAAGTCGCGGCCGACGAGAGCTTCGAGGACGCTGGACTTGCCGCTGCTCTGGCTGCCGACCACCGCGACCTGAGGGAGGTCGATGGCGGAGTGGCTCCCGACGCGGCTGAAGATGTCTTGGAGACGGTTGACGAGCGAGATGACCGACGAACCAAGAGGAGCGGCGTCGCCGGCAACCGCCATCGAGTGTTAGGGTTTATGCTATTCGAATATTGGAGAGTCCTCCTTTAACTAACTAAACTAACTGCGCTTGTAATGACTTATGAGAGGTGTTTGAACTTTGAACTCGGGAGCTTTATATATGAGGAGATTTTCTTGCGGGGCAAGGCGGCGCCGGGGAAATCAGAAATATTCTTTTTTTTATGAATTATGATTTCGGTTCTAAATTCTAATGTCATTCTATTTAATTTGGAAGCTTTATTCAATACAACCAATAGTAATAGTGTTCCAAATCTCTCCCTTCCTCAGAATAAATGTCCAAACACATGGGACTGGGATGCATCAATCAACTTTCATGATTGCAAAAATACAAAGGATCAGCTGTTTCTTGCTTTCAGTATTTTAAATAAATAAATAAATAAAGTAGTTCAAAATTAATATGGGAGAGAAAATATAAAACATAAAAAAAATTATTCACAGTTGTCAAAAAGAAAATAAAAATCCCGTGTCTTTGGTAGTTGGTCTCCAAGTCTTAAAAGTTTCAAATTTGAGTTTTAAATTTTATAAATAAATAAAAAAATAGTCTGAATAGACTAATTTGCGATCAGTCAAAATTACCCTAAAAAAATGAAACTACCACCACATTTGAAGCCAAAAGTTGAAGATTATAATATAAATAAAAATTGAAGATTATTGTTGAAAGGGGGACTGGAGGACCATAATGTTCCAAGGATAACATTTAGAAACCAAACAACATGACAACGTTGATTTTATAAAATCAAATATTCAATTGAGATATACAAATACACAACTAAGCATCAAATCAATCAATTCACAAATTATAACATTTTGATGCCAATATTATTTTATAGTATAAATTTGAATAGAAATTCAAATAAAAATATCACCAAAATTATCAATTCTCAAAGCAAACAATTTTAATCCATCCCGATTTTATTGTATGAATAAGAATAAAACTTAAAATAAAAGCAACATCAAAATCGTCAAATCTAAGATTAAAGGCATACAATCTTCGTTTTATGGTATGAATTTGAATAAAAATTTATCCAACAATTATCTCAAGATCGTCAATTCTAAAAGCATACCATCCAATTTTATTATATGAATTAAAATAAAAGTTCATACAAAAATAACTTCAAGCCCATCAAATCTAAAAGCATATAATCTCTATTTTATAATATGAATTTGAATAACAAATTTATACAATAATTTCCTCAACACCATTATTTGTCAAAGCATACCATCTAATTTTATAGTACGAATTTGAAAAAAAAAATTATATTATAATTGTTTCAAAGCATACAATCCAAATTTATATAATAATTATTTCAAGACAATCAATTTTCATAACATATTGTCCAATTTTATAGTATGAATTTAAATAAAATTTCTCACATAAATAATATTAAACCATCAAATCTAGAAGGATTTTAAATTTTTCTTTTAGTGTAACAATCTGGTAAATCACTATACTTAATACAACTTAAAAATTAAGTAAGAAAAACATACATATCAATTAATCTAGAATTATCATACAAACAATTTATGGATTCATATACTACTAAGAATTACACTCAGAATAACCCATTTCTCACATATCACACACTACCAAGAATCACATTTAGGATTTAGGATGTATATATGTATGTGTGTGTGTGTATATATATATATATATATATATATATATATATATTTAAAGCTACTTTTGTACTGATTTAATTTTAATTCATATATATATATATATATATATATATATATATTATTTGTTGGGATTTTGAGGGATAAATTTTCACAAAAAAAAAAAAGTTTTAATTTAATTCTTAATAAAAGATCTTATGAGTAGAATAACTCATTTCTCTCATATCACACACTACCAAGAATCACACTCAAGGTTTAGGATTTTTATATTTGGAGTGTGCTTTAAGAATTTTCATTGAAAAAATTTTGTTTGGATGAAGGAGTAACAACCCTTTGATTACTAAGCACCAAAAACATGTTGTCACTACTCAATCCACATGAACAAAACTAGAACAGGATTTGGTGCTAGCCATAGAGAGGGCAGGAGTAGTTTTGTAAGATAGCACAACATTAATTTTCACTTTATTTGCAAAGTTAGGCTAGCGCGTCTTTTATAGACAATTATTTAACCTAATCTATATCCTTATTGGATTTGGACAATACAAACTCAATTTCCTCTCCAATTTTATTAAATCTATTTAATTAATTACCATTAAATTAAATATCATTTAATCTAATGACTTATTTCAAGTTTTTACTCAATGTGTGTGATACGTAAGTTCTCGCTTAATTGACAATAATATTTAAATGTCACGTCAAATATAATAATAAATATTATATAAAAAAATATTGGCATATGGCAATGCATCATTCTCACCCAATTAATGAGAAAAATTGATGATCTAATTCCAACCTTTTGCAACTATGATTACTGTAGAGTAATTTATCCCTTTGTCCATATGTCTTTGATTTGAACATGAGACATAAAAGTGTCATTCTTATTAATTCTAATTATATGCTTCTTGATAATCAAGTAGATGTTCAAACATGAGTAGACTCAATATCTCTTATTGTTTTATTCTCACATGACCATGCATATTTTACGTCTCCTTGTATCGAGAGGCTCAAGACATAACTTTCATTATGCAGGAAGGACAAATCATTTTCACAACACACACATCCCTCTACGTGATTCGTTGTAGGACCAATTAACTATCTTTATAATTATCTTGTTACATATAACATTTAATAATTTCAAAGTTTACAACTCCTACGTGTAGAAATTGTAGTAATTTCAAGTTGAAAGACTATTTTTAATACTCTACTATGGTCACCATGTAAAGCGCTTATGACACTTATATAATTATTATGAAGCTTTCTCATAGTGGAACCATTCGGTATAAATATCACTCCTAATATTTATACATGTGTGTTTGACTTAATATCTCATATTCATGACTTATAAAATGTGGTCATCACTCAACTCACACAATAGTTTCAACGTATTATTATCATCCTAATTAACAATAATACTTGACTATGACCAATATAAGAATAATGTTTTTTATTTAAAAAATCTCACAATCAAGTCACATTTGATATATATTTGAATGAACAATTTATTTTAAGGAGGTTACTAAGTTTCAATGACATAAAACCTAAAATGGCTAAAATATTTTTATATCAAAGTCATGATACAAATAAAGGATTAACCACTAGAATTAACTCCAACATTATCATCATCTTATATATAAAAGAATCAACAACATATTTTATGTTTTGAATGCTTCTTATTATAGGCTATGACTTGTAGATATGGCTTGTAGCAACTTAAAAAAAAATTAATGATACTATGGGCCATAGCAACCAAAACAAAAAAAGAATTTGACAGGATTATGACTCATAACGAGTAAAATGAGGAAAAAAAACAAATTATACTATGAATCATGGTGACCAAAATAAAATAAAAAATAAAAAATAATATATGTGACACAATTTAACAAGTCACTACAACCAATAATAATTTTGTTATTATCATTATTAGCTATAACGACAAACTCATATAACTCATTCATAATTAAAAAAAAAAAATCATGTATCACTATACAAAAATAATATTAAAGACAAATAATTTCACAACAACCTCATATAGTTTTAAAAAGTGCCCTACAAACGTCAAAAGCCTATAATGTGCCATCCACCATTGGCATTCACATAGAAAGCACACATTTGGAATTATCAGGCCTCTCTACATTTGAAATACACACATCTTTCCAAAACTCCACTAAACGACCATTACCAATCCTCCAAGCTATGCTTTGACTAACCAAATTCCAGTTGGAAGAAACTCCCCTCCAAATTTTTGCATTTGGATGGCAAGAATTAAATCATCCTTGCATTAATAATATGTTGATATGAGGACGTGAATCCAAAGATAATTCAGATGCTTGCAATAAGAAGTAATTCGCAAGCAATTTGAATGAGACTCATATTGTAATTGCATTTTGAGATATCAATTCTTAAGCATTCGAATATTTTACAATATGAATTAAGAATTCACATCGTGTATTGGGTCACTAATGCTCAAACATAGCAATTGAATGTAAAATTATCAGGCAAAGAAGTCACCTGGAAAATAAATTCATATTGCAAGCCAGTGAAGTCAAATTAACAAATAGCAAAACAATATCGTAACCCAATCATTAATAGCGAATAAGGAAATCTCCACTCATTATAAAGATTCATCTTAGGCAACCAAGACACATTAGTTTTGACACGAAAAATCAACCTTAAGAGACTTTCGACAATCAAGATTCATCAAAACTGGGTTCTTGAATGATTACTGTATGTCAAAGAGGTTCTTATTCTTAACGTTGGACTATGCCCAAGCTCAGTCCAAACTCAAAGTTTAATGGTCTATAACTTTTATTCATTTTTTTATTAATTAAATTTCTTTTTACTTTTATTTGTTAATTAAATTATTTACACAAAAAATTAATTGAAAAAGGTATACTAAAAATCAATTGTGTATCTATGAGAATATTTTGACCAAAGTGTTTGATTAACTAATTAGAGTGTTTTAAAGAGTTATTTCACTCTCATTAAACCCAATGACTTATCCTAATCTTTTACTTTTAATTTTTAATTTTATTAGTATTTTAGTATGTATATTGTACATGCATATTTATTATATATAATTAAAATTTATAATAAATAATATATATATATATATATATATATATACGGTTATTTATGTTTTTAAAGATGTTATGTAATTTTTTTAATCATAAATAATACAATAACACATGCACAATAACACATGCACAATCACTTATCATCCAATGATGCCATGAACTTGACTCATAAATGCATGCATGTGGCGCCAGTCACATATCTCATCACATATCATGTGGTATGTGGTCAAAGCAACACACCTGGAGTAGTCTAGGAGTACATGTAGGCCCAACTGTGCACTCTCAACTAGAAGGATGTACTGTTAGAGTCTCGTTGGAATAGCAAAGCCACGCAAGATACGTCCCATGCACACAAACGAGAAAAATTAGGCCTTCCAAACCACGCTATCCCCTAGGACTCCTCCAAGATGTTTCACACCTGGAGAGAATTTCCTAACAGTGTACTCCATATCGTACCCTGTCACATAAATGCATATGATGCATGTCACACATTCACAATATCAAGGACTCTTCACTTTAATTGTCATATCATATCATGTCTCATGTCACTTGTTCACTTTTTACATTATCATATTCAAAAGGTCACACACATAGGGATTCTCTTCATCGTAACATTCATAAGAACACATAATTCACATCAAATAAGTACAAGACAATTCACATCCATTTTGTACCCCCAAACACACAAGAAAACGTATAGACATCAGCAGGGGTCACGCCTGACACACCCCAACTCGCACCCAGCAAATTAAATGTTGCATGAAAAATGGAGCAACGCACCTTAAGCGTGCCTAACAAATTTAATGTCGTTCCTAAAGCGGAGAAATCCGCCCAGCGCAACTTGACATGCGCTTGGTGTAACTTTCCTACACCTAGTGAAACTTACCTATGCTCGACACAATTTTCCTGAGCTCGGCTCAATTTTTCGAAGCTTGGCTCAATTTTCCTAGGAACCTATTGATTTGCGCCAAGCACGAAGGACCGCACCCGACGCCCTCAATGCTAACCTAGGCTTCGCAATCACGCGATTTTCACATTAAAACATTTTTTTCATTAGTGTGAATCTGTCTCACCAAGATATCGATATCGAGAATTTAAAATTATTATGTTTAAGTAAAAAATTAATTAAGTTGCTTAAATAGATTGAACTGATATAATATCCCGGAGAATTGCAAATGATTACATAAAAAGAAATTTTAATGATTCATAAAACTCGCTGGGTTGAAATTGCCTTAGGACTTCATTCTTTATTAGTTTGCTGCGTTGGCTTATTCTCATTTTTAATGTACTACTCATTCACGTGAGCAAACGTAATGAGTTATTTTTTGTGTAACAAATAATTTCTTCAATGTTCGTTTTCTCTCCGTCTCATTCCCCTTTCTCCACCCAATTATACCTTCTGAAGCGTTACAGCAGGAAATACAAATCAATGTTGAATACCGCGGAAGTAAAGGTATAAAAACTGAACTATTCACATTATAGAAATAAAATCTGGTCCCAAGGGGATGTACAGGAACTCATGTAAGAAAACTGTAAGTCTACAATCATATAATTAACAGCCTTCAAGAAATAGTTTGTCTATAAAACATAAACTATTTCTAGAAGTGCAATGTTAGTTGAACCAGCGGTGCACATTCATTTCCATAGTGAACAAACCATGCTGATTGCGCACAGCAATATCTCTACATCACAGCCAGTAAGTCCTCAGGTTGGAATCATCCATATCAACCTGAATGTCAGTAATAATCATGAATTTTAATAAAGTAAATGATAGATGAAAGCTAATACTAATAGGATTAGTCCCTTATTCAGGATTTGTGATAGGTCAGTTAAAAAATATACCTGGTCATCAAAACCAGCAGGAA